AGGTGGATAGCTTGAGGCTCCGTCTCAAAAAAAAAAAAAAAAAGATTGTTAAGGGCAGTGCCTGAGGCTCAGTGAGTAGGGTGCCAGCCCCCTATACCAAGGGTGGTGGGTTCGAACCCAGCCCCAGCCAAACTGCAATGAAAAAATAGCTGAGCATTGTGGCGGGTGCCTGTGGTCCCAGCTACTAGGGAGGCTGTGGTAAGAGAATCACCTAAGCCCAGGAGTTGAAGGTTGCTGTGAGCTGTGACACCATGGCATTCTACCGAGGGTGATAAAGTGAGACCCTGTCTCTACAAAAAAAAAAAAAGATTGTTAAATGGGGATTTGCTCAAATTGGACAATCATCACCTATTCCAGCTCCTCCAGTGGAATACCTCCTTGTACTTCCCCTTCTACTCATCTTGATTCAGCTCCCTGGATAGAGTGCTGTTATAATTCTCTGGTCTCTATTCCTATTGAAGCAGGAGAAAAATTGTAGGATTGGTCTAGAACAGTGGTTTTCAACCTTCCTAATGCCATGGTGACCCCCAACCATAAAATTATTTTCGTTGCTACTTCATAACTGTAATTTTGCTACTGTTATGAATCACAATGTTAACATCCGATATGCAGGATGTATTTAGGCGACCCTTATGAAAAGGTCATTCGAGCCCCAAAGGGATCTTGACCCACAGGTTGAGAACCGCTGGTCTAGAAGATCACCACTCCCTCATAACATTAATGATCAAGTAACTGCCAGAAAATGGGTAACTAACACTTTAACTTCAGAATCAGGAAACAGTCATAAAAATCTTAGGTGCCTTTCGGCAGCCCTTCAACCAGTAGAAGTCCTGAAGCCTACAAATGAAGTAATGCAAAATAGTTCCAGCACTGTACACTATATCATGGCCTGTATCCCACCTCCAAGACTCTTGCTAATTGGCAACATCTCTATAACAAAAATTAACCATAGTTTCATTATAAACTGTACAAATTGTAATTTACCCAATTGTGTTAGTCACATTGATCCTTTTCAGGCTATTACTATAATTGAATAAGCTTGTTTTGTTATGTTACCTGTAAATTTAATTCGACCATGGTATGATGATTCAGGTTTACAAATGTTAATTGAACTTAATAAGCATTTACATCATGGTATTACTCGTAAAAAAAGTTATAGATATGATTGTAGCAGGTATTGCAGCATTAGCTACCATCATAGCGAGTGCTGTTTCTTCAGCTTTGGCGCCCAGGTGATCTATACACACAGCCCAATATGTAAATACATTGACTCAATACACTTCTTTGGCATTATCAATGCAAGAAAAAGTAGACAAGAAATTAGGAGCCAAACGCGATGCTTTACAACAAGTAGTAACTTTTATAAAAGATGAAGTTTAAAGTTTAAAAGCATATTTACCATTGTGTTATAATGCCCAATTCCAATGAATGTGTTAACCTGAAACCCTACAATGAATCAGAATGGAATTAGGATAAAGTAAAAAATCATCTCCTAAGAATATGGTCTCATAATAATATTTGTCTTTTTTTTTTTTTTTTAGAGACAGAGTCTCACCTTGTTGCCCTTGGTAGAGTACCATGGTGTCATAGCTCACAGCAACCTCCAGCTCTTGGGTGTAGGCAATTGATTCTCTTGCCTTAGCCTCAGCCTCCTGGGTAGCTGGGACTACAGGTGCCTGCCACAACACCCGGCTACTTTTTCATTGAAGTTTGGCTGTGGTCAGGTTTGAACCCGCCACCCTCGGTATATGGGGGCGGCGCCCTACCCACTGAGCCACGAGTGCCACCCAATAATATTAGTCTTGATATGGTAAAACTTCACCAAGAAATTCAACCCATGTGTGAGTCTCATTTGGATATTTATAGTCCTGCCCAATTAGCTAAAGACATTTTCTTTTGAGATAGTCTCATTATGTTACCCTTGGTAGAGTGCTATAGCATCACAGCTCACAGCAACCTCAAACTCTTGGGCTTAAGCAATTCTCTTGCCTCAGCCTCCCAAGTATCGGGGACTATAGGCGCCTGTCACAATGCCTGGCTAGTTTTTGGTTGCAGTTGTCATTGTTTAGCAGGCCCAGGCTGGGCTCCAACCCACCAGATTCAGAGTATGTGGCTGCACCCTACTCACTGAGCTATGGGCGCCGAGCCAGCTAAAGACTTTTTTTGATAAATTACAATCTTTCAGTCCTTTAAAAAATACTAAACATTTGGACCAGCGCCCATAGCTCAGTGGTTAGGGCGCCAGCCACATACACTGGGGCTAGTGGGTTTGAACCCAGCCTGGGCCTGCTAAACAACAATGACAACTGCAGCAGCAACAAAAAAAAAAAACCAGCCGGGCATTGTAGCAGGCACCTATAGTTCCAGCTAGTTGGGAGGCTGAGGCAAAAGAATTGCTTAAGCGTAAGGTTTGAGGTTGCCATGAGCTATAATGTCACAGTACTCTACTGAGGGCAACACAGTAAGATTCTGTCTCAAAAAAAAAAAAATTAAACAGATAGCATTATGTGTATTAGAAGTATTAATACTAATTTTATTTTGTCCAGTCTTCTGCAGAGCTGGAGCCAAGCAACTTCTCCAGCTAAAATCATTTGTCCATGAATTAAAATTAAAAAATAAAAAGGGAGGAGATGTGGAGTGCAGATTGTGAGGTGGCAAGACCCCCACAGTCCTGGACCTGTGTTCAAGGATGGCCCCCAGGCTCAGCACCCATAGCTCAGTGAGTAGGGTGCCAGCCACAAACCCTGAGGCTGGCAGTTCGAGCCCGGCCTGGGCCTGCTAAACAACAATGAGGTTGTGTAAGATTTGTTTTTAAACTGTACATTGTCTTTTTTTGTATAGTTAACACACTACCAAATGTGTCTTTAGAGAGCCCTATCCTGGTGGTATTTTCAATAGGAACTAACCTTGCCTGGTACAGTATGGGGGTTGTAAATTGGCATGGAAATTTAAAGTAGGCTCTTGTTGGTGCACAGCACAAATTAATTCTATATGGGGATGGTAGTTTATTCATCTTCAGTTGTCTCTGATACAGCTTATACGAAATAATTATTGTTCTGTTAACTGAATATCACTCTGTAATTGTAAAAAAAAAGTTGCAGCTGTTTTGTTGACATTCTGAATGCTTCTAAGTAAATACAATTTTAATTGAAAAAATAAAATAAAAAATAAAAATAGAAAAACTGAGGCAAGAGGATCACTTGAGCCTAAGAGTTGGAGGTTGCTGTGAGCTATGAAGCCCTGACACTCTACCCAGGGCAGCAGCTTGAGATTCTGACTCCAAAAAAAAATAATATAAGGCTGGGCTCGGTGGCTCATGCCTGTAACTTACTTGGGAGGTTGAGGTGGATGGACTGCCTGAGCTCACAGGTTCGAGATCAGCCTGAGCCAGAGTGAGACCCTCCAGTCTCTAAAAAATAGTGAGGGATGGCTCGGCGCCTATGGCTCAAGTGGCTATAAAGCGCCAGCCACATACACCTAAGGTGGCGGGTTCGAATCCAGCCCGGGCCCGCCAAACAACAATGATGGCTGCAACCAAAAAATAGCTGGGTGTTGTGGCAGGCGCCTGTGGTCCCAGTTACTTGGGAGGCTGAGGCAA